ACCGCTGGTGTACCGCGTTGCCGCTCCATTTGCATGGTTGCCAACGGATCTGGGGCGGACATCCGCCACAGGGCTCCCCCCCAGTGAGGGACCCTCTGGTTGCGAACGGTTCTGTTGGCACGTGTTGAGGAGCAGGCGGTTGGCATATGCATGTTCTTCTAACACCTGATGAGACGCTGGAACGTATGCTGGTTTGAGTCGGTCCATCGAGACTCGCTGCGGGGCATTCTGGACGTCCACTGTCAAGAATTTCTCGTGACGTTCCAGTACTCTGAACGGGCCACTGTAGGGGGCTGTTAGCGGCGGCTTGACTTTGTCGGTACGTATGAATACATGCGTTGCTGTCGACAAGTCTGGGTGGATATAGGCTGTGCGGGTTGAGTGGTTGCTTGTTGGTACTGGCCGTAATGCCCCCATAATTTCACGAAGTCGTTGGACAAATCGATGTTCGTCGGGTGCGACAGCACTCGGAGCTAGCAGTTGTCCAGGAAGGCGAACTGGTGTACCATACACCAACTCAGAAGCTGTACAAGAAATGTCCTGCTTGAAGGTATTGCGTAGGCTTAACATGACCAGGGGGAGGGCTTCGGTCCAGGATACCACGTCGGTGGCGATGAGGGCGGCTTTGAGGGTTCGGTGGAACCGTTCAATACACCCATTTGATTGTGGGTGGTAGGCAGTCGTCTTGATGTGCTGCACCCCAAGCGTTCTGTTGAGCTGGCGGAACAACTGGCTCTCAAATTGTCGGCCTCGGTCGGTGGTTATGGTTGCTGGCACATCAAAACGGGATATCCATATTTCGAGGAGTTTTTCTACCACTACTTCGGCAGTCATTTCCAGGATAGGGATGGCCTCGGGCCACCTTGTAAATCGGTCGATAATGGTGAGTAGGTATCGGAAGTTGTGGCTTGGTGGGAGTGGTCCTACTATGTCGATGTGTATGTGGGCAAAACGGTCATCGGGCATTCCTAGTGGTGCTACAGGAGTGACTGTGTGGCGTCCTACCTTGGCACGTTGGCATTGGATGCACTCTCGTGACCATTCCTTAACTTGGCGGTTCATGTTGTGCCACACAAATCGGTCTGCGATCAGTCGGAGTGTAGCAGCATGCCCTGGGTGCGACTGGTTGTGGAATTTGCGGAAAACGTCCCTCTGAAAACCGGCTGGTACATATACCCTAAGGCGCCCATCTTGAACTGAACAGTAGAGAGGTCGTTCGGTGTCTGATGTGATGATGCGTTGGAGGTGTAGGGAGCTGGCAGGATCATGTAGGATCTGTTGTAGGCTCTCGTCTGTAGTTTGGGCTTCAGCGAGCCTGTCAAAGTCGATGGTTATAGGCGCTGCGAGGGCGTCTACCTCAGGTCGCGAGAGACAATCAGCGACAATGTTTGCTGCACCTTGGACGTGTCGGATGTCGGTGGAAAATTGGCCAATAAATTCGAGCTGCCGAATTTGTCGTGGGGACTGGCGGTCGTGACGCTGCTGGAAGGCGTATGTCAAAGGCTTATGGTCAGTGTAGATTGTGAACTGAGTGCCCTCGAGAAAATGGCGGAAATGGTGGATGCCACTGAATATGGCCAACAGCTCACGGTCGTAGGTACTGTAATTTCGCTGTGTTACGGATAGCTTTTGTGAGAAAAAGGCTATGGGTTGTAGGTGTTCGTCGACCAGTTGTTGCAGTACACCACCAATTGCGGTGTCGGAGGCGTCGACTGACATGCTTAACTGGGCCTGTGGTGCTGGGAAGACCAACTCTGCAGCGGTGGCCAAGAGTTCTTTAACTCTGGAGAAGGCATCAGCTGCTGCTGCTGGGGTCAAGCTGAGGTCTTGTTGCTTTTTTTTCTGATGGGCCAATAGCTCGGTTAGTGGCATGAGCTCGGTTGCAGCGCTTGGTAACCAGCGTCGGTAAAAATTGACCATTCCCATGAAGCGGCGTAGCTGCTTGTACGTTGTGGGTTGTGGAAAGTCTCGGATGGCACTGACTTTAGCCGGCAAAGGTCTGACACCAGTCGGAGAGACAATGACGCCCAGAAAATGGGCTTCACGGGTCCGGAATTTAGATTTCTCCAGGTTGATTTGAAGCCCGTTCTCTTTTAGGATCCGTAGGACTGATGCCAGGTGCTGTTCGTGTTCAGCTTCCGTCGTGGAGGCTACCAGGATGTCGTCGATGTAAATGTAAACAAAGGGGCACCCTCGGAAGAGGTGGTCGAGGTAGCGCTGCAGTGTCTGGGCGGCGTTTCGTAAGCCAAAGGGCATCTTTAGAAATTCGTACAGGCCAAACGGCGTGATCACAGCCGTTTTCTGTACATCTCTAGGGCGGACTGGGATCTGGTAAAAAGCACGTATGAGGTCAATGGTCGAAAAGATTTTCTTGCCATGTAGCTGGTTGGCGAAATCCTGAATATGTGGCACTGGGTAGCGATCAGGTTTGGTAATGGCGTTCAGTCGGCGGAAATCTCCGCAAGCACGCCACTGGCCGTTGGCTTTTTGTACCATGTGAAGTGGGCTGGCCCATGGAGATTTTGATGGCTGAACTATGTGTGCTTGCATCATGTCGTTGAACTCGGCTCGTGCGGCTTGTAGGCGGTCTGGCGGGAGCCTACGTGGTTTGGAGAATACCGGGGATCCTTGGGTATCAATGTAGTGCTGGACTTTTCCAGGATTATCAGACATACCAGTTGAGCGATCGTAGGGGTGGGCCGTCGATAGCCCCACTTCCGGCTCCTTCACTGTTCGGGACACACATGCAATGCTGCTCGGAGCGGTGGGACTAACAAGGCGCTTTCTGCGCATGTCTACGGTGATGCCATGTTGTGTGAGAAAGTCAGCGCTTAGGATGGCGGTGGTGACGTCTGCAACTACAAAGGTCCACGTGACCGGTTGGCCAAGACCGAGGTTCAACTCCAATTGCTTATGCCCATACGTTCTGATACGGGAACCAGTGGCGGAGTACAGGCTGATAGTGCTTGGTTGTGTAGCGGTGCAGATCTTACGTGGCAGCACACTTAGGTCAGCTCCGGTGTCGATGAGGAACTGGAGTTGGAGCAGTTTATCTGTCACGAACAGGCGACGGTGTCTATGGGAGGCCACGGTTGTCGCCACTACTGCGCCCCCTGGTCGTTTTTTGAATAAGTGCATGGGGGTCTGCACTTCTTGGCTTGCGGGCCAAACCTTCGGTGGTAATAGCACTGCCCATCAGCGACTGCAGTGTTGGTTGTTCGGGCAGGTCGAGGTTCCTGCGATTTCTCGTCGACACTTAATTTCGCAGACAGAGCTCTTATCTGGTCGCCTAGTTCAGCTACAGTTTTCTCTAAGGTGGGCTTCTCCTCAATAGACATAACTGGAAGGCTGTTATTGCGTATGAACTTGTCAGCCTTCTTCGCCAGCTCTTCTAGGTCTCCATCCAGGACGGATATTACCCCTCGGACTTGGGGCGGTAGGCGGTTGAGCCACAGATTTTTCAGTACCTCTGTACTTACATTGGTGGTGGCTAGGGCTTGCATGCGATGGAGAAGCTGGGTCGGCTTGAAATCACCCAAGGTTATCTCCAGCAGTTGGCGGGTTCTTTCATCAGCACTAGTACCGTATCTTTCGAGAAGGCGGGTTTTTAGATCTTCATAAGAAGTACCTCCAGTTGGGTTTCGTATTATGTCGGCTACCTCTGTAGCACACACCGTGTGGTCAAACTTACAGTTGTCTGTTGTTATCTTTGCTTGCCGAAACTGTGCTTCGAGTCGAAGGAACCATAGTTCTGGTTCGGCGCACCAAAATTCTGGCGCTTTGATCCCTACACGGGCGATTATGGTCTGATCGTCGGTTGGGTCCATGGCGTCGTCGTTGGCCGTGTTAGACGAGGGCCGTGTGGGTGTGAATTTTGGGGCACTGCACACGCGGTCAAGAGTCAAGAGTCAAGGTTCTTTGGATGGTAGCACGTCGCACTCACGCGTTTGTCGGGGTCACCACTGTGGCCGGTTTGCGGCGGGCAAATAAGGCGCACTGATCAACTTAATTTCTTAATTAATCTACTGTTTATTTATGCCAAATACAAAAATAAAACATCGGTAAAAATGAAAAAATAGAAATTGTTCGGGCGTGTTGTTTTATTATTCGAGCGGGCGTCGGACTTGTGTCAGTCATCAGCTGGCCGGGACTCGGAGACAGTTGACGTTCCTACCGCTGGTGTACCGCGTTGCCGCTCCATTTGCATGGTTGCCAACGGATCTGGGGCGGACATCCGCCACAAGGTACTTTCATTTGTTAGGTTATGTTTTGCTGGTCTAAGGCCGCATCCACACCCCACATCACCCACGGTAGCAAAGGCAAAATGGCGTATCGAATCATAGCAGAGATATGAATCATAGCAATGCTATTGGCCGAAATTTAGCTGACAAACATTTCGACCAATAGAATTGATACGAACGGAGTATCGCGTTCCATTAAATAATGGCAAATTCTAAATTATCGTATAATTATCGGATATCGTATAAGGGAAATTCACGATCGTATAAGACTTTAAAATACCTTGAAATTATCGTATAATACGATAATTATCGTATCATTGGCAACACTGGGTCCATCAAATACGTTGCTTTCCATGTTTTATGATGGATGTTCACCTAAATCCCATATATTCAGATTTGAAATAAGCAATGGGTGGGAACAAGATGGCGGCGTTTGCAATATAAATATATGGGATTTTAGAACCAATCAAAAATAAGACAGCAAGTCGCCACTGTGGGTAATAGAGTCACTGTATTCAATGCTTTACCTGTATCTTGGTGCCAAAAACTTGGCTTCACTTTAGCTTCATAAGCAGAATGGCACGTTCCTACTCCTTATGTCCGTAGCTTTCCTGCTCTAAGCGTGTAACGAACGGCGTTTTCCATATGAATGGGATTTTAAAGAACTAAAGAACCAATCAAAAAGAAGACCGCCATTGTCGCCACTGTGGTAATAGAGTCACTGTATTTACATTTACAGGTTTTTCGAAGCGACATCTACCGAGATAGAGAAAATGTATTTTTATTTCTTTTGCTGTTTGAGAAAATATCATTTTCTTCAAGAAAAATTCTTCAGGTTTTACTTGCCAAAAGTTTGGAGAGTGCCGAGTAAAAAGCAGCAGATTGTTCCTGAAACAAATAATGGTACTAGAAAAAGGTAAGTACCTACTTAATTTGAATATTATGTAGTAGAAGATTCTATATTCTATGGGAGAAGGTAAAAACACATAAGGTATTGTTCGTCGATTTTTATCTGACACTTTCCGTATGAGGAGCGAGAGGGTGAAGTATATGGCAAAAACAGATGTCACGTCAGATGTGAGATGACCATTGTCGTTCTCTGATTCTGATGTAGGGTGCCACCAGCTCACATTCATTTTGAGTATCTGATTAAAATCGACGGACTTTACGTACGCATAGATACCTAAACAATTTTTGCCTTTTAATAATCTATCTTTATGACTTCACCGATTTCAGAAGCCACCAACGTTCAATGAATTAAGTGCGTATGACTCGCTAAATTGGTCCTGTGAGATATACCTAATACTATTAATTCAAAAATGGCGACAGTGACGGCTTTTACAAATAATTGGCTCTGTTATGACACTATTCTTGGAGAAGGAGCATATGGAGAGTAAGATAATTATTATAAGTATAGTATAAAAGTACCTATATATCTACCTACGTATCGTCGCCTTCCTTACAAAGGGGCTTATCTCAAAAAATTGCTAAATTGAGTTAGGCCCTTGCGAGGCATCAAAACAGTTACCTGCAGCTACTTTCTAAAAGGCGTATCTCAAATATAGGTAGTCTCAAAATATGCCTTTTTCATTATTAGCCTCATCTCAGATTTGGCACAAAAATAATCTCACAAAAAAACTTTTTTTTTCTCTCCTGAAAAATCACAAAAAATGAGATAGGCTTGAGATAGATAGGCCCTTTTCTCTTTTGCAAGGAAGGCGACGATATTACCCATACCTATACAGGTTATTTGTTATTTTAAATTCTACGTTTACTGAACAATGAGCAATAGCGGAAGTGGATTAGATATTAGAGAGATTTTGAGCCACATAAATTTCGAAATACGTTACACGCTAAACGATAAACTGAGCAAGCGCAGTCTTTGAAAAATAGTGGATGACATTTAGCTTTTTTTTAGTTTTTGAAGCCAAAACTTGTGAAGGACGTTATACGCTAAACGCTAATGAAAATTTGTGGTTAGGAATTTGAATTTGTGTAACTAGCGTCAAATTTTATGTTGTCTGTTGTTTATGTTAGGATGGTTGGGTATTTATTTGTGTTTTGTTTTGTGTAATTATGTACTGCACTTCATGAATAACATTGAAAATATAATAAGACGTCGAAATGCTGAAACGTTATCGGTTAATAACGTTCCGTTTATTTCCACATAATTAGCGTAGTACGTTACCGCTTATTAAGCGGGCCGGTTATTTTTTCACTATTGCGCATGAGCAAAATAACCGATAACGTATAACGTTGATCAAATAGGTGGCTCAAAATCTCTCTAATATTATAGCTATTTATGTACCAAGGGCATTATGTGGATTATAATGCTCAGAAGGCGAAACTAGTCCGAGGGCTTCTGGCCCGAGGGATATTTTTGTCCTAAAGGGCGTTATTCCGGGTTCACTACAATTCACTTAACAATACTAATTGACCACTTAGTAAAACGTACCTACATGACATAATATCAAATATAGACACATAACGGATAGAGATCGTTATCCCTATCGCTATATGGCACTATTGCTGTCTTCTTCTCTCTTGTCCAAATCAATAGAGAGGAGACGTCAATAGAGATAGAGAAAATATCTTTATTCTTTACAGAGTCCCAGCTCCGGCGCCCTACTTGAATGGAATTCTCCGAATTGTTTGCGCCACACGCAAACAATTGCATTCGTGCATTCTCAGAATCTGGCCGGGCTCCCGAGGCAATTTCGTAACAATACTTTATCACCTGCAAACTGGAAAAATTCTAAGGCACGAAATCAGGGTGATTATAGAATAGGCGATCATTCGATACTGAGTATGATTATCTTCTATTCTATTCTTATTGTCATCGATTGTGCGTTTAAAAACTAATTCTGGAGCTGCACAGTCTTAACACATCCAGTCTCGGGCAACATATTGTCTTTTCCTCTGCTCTCTCGATTCTTCCTGCGGTCCTTCTTTTCAGTCTCGTGTCTGTATCGCCGTTCTTCAAAAGTTTGTGGTCCGTATATCATTTGCTGTCGTTTTCCAGTTGCTGGTATGGATGCGGCACTTACTTTTCTTCAGATTACATATTTTTGTAGCGTTTCTGTTGGCCTCCTTGATTTCGTTTTCAGTAATGCCGTCAGTCCAGCTGACTTAAATGTTCCTTATTTAGCTGATTGCCTTTTCAACCTCTTCTTATTTGGGAACTTCCCTCACTTCTTGTTGTATGGGTTTCTGTGGAATTTTGTTGAAGATGTCATTATTAATTTAAGTAGTTCCTGAAAGTGTTTTTTCGGCTTCCAACGAGAATTAATAGAAGAAGTCTTTTATTCAAGCAGTCTTGTGTCATCTTTGGATCGGATCATAAGGGATTGAGTCTTTGAGTGATTGGTCCGTATATCATCTTAGTAGCCTGAAAGAAGGCCCTGGTGCTGTTGGATTCAGACAGTTGCTGCATTTCGTTTGACAAACCAGTCTTGAATCTTGATGTTTCTTTTGTATGTAGAAGTTTCTGGCTTGGAAGTTTTTCATGATATGATCGTTTTGAAGTTGTTCTATGTTAAATTTGCATTTGAAGTGGTGGTCAGTCCAGGCGGTCTCCAGAACGAGAAAGTACAATTATATAATCGATTAGATGCCACTGCTTTGACGTAGGGTGTTGTCAAGAAATCTAGAATTTATTCTTTTGTCAAAAAAGTGTATTAGTTATTAAAATGTGAAATTCTATTATTTATTTACTCTATGAACTATGCATAGTTTTCTATAAATCCTCAAGAGATCGCTCGCTTTCAGGGTCAAACTCTTAGTTAACAAAAGTACAGAGCAGAAAGTTGCCTGCAAAATCATCGAGCATTACAAACATAAGGACGCCAGAGAGAAAGTTAAGAAAGAAGTCATGATACACAAAATGCTTGATCACGAGAATATTATTAAATATTTTGGTAGAAGACATGAACCTGAAAAGGAATATATATTTTTGGAGTATGCTTCTGGTGGAGAACTTTTCGACATAATAGGTGCGTATTTGTATTGTAATGCTGATATTATTAGTATTATTACAATGTTGTATTTCCTATTACGATTTAGAACTCAGCACATAAAGTCTCCTTTTGGTAATTTTTAAAAAATTCCAGTTAATTTCCGTTAATAGTGTAGTGGAATGAGGTTGAAACTTAAATTATTTTTTTGTTAGAACCTGATGTTGGCATGCCCCCAGCAAATGCTCAGTATTTCATGAAGCACTTACTTAGTGGCGTAGACTATTTACATCAAAAAGGAATTGCACACAGAGACATAAAACCTGAAAATTTACTCATAGATGGTCGAGGAGTTTTAAAAATTAGTGATTTTGGATTGGCAACTATTTTCATGTTAGACGGCAAGGAACGCACGCTTTGGAAACCGTAAAAATTATCTCTAGTCCAAAATTTTTTTGTATTCAATTAATTTTCTTAGATGTGGAACGAAACCTTATACAGCACCGGAAGTTAGACAAAAGTGCTATTCTGCCAGACCAGCAGATTTATGGAGCTGTGGCATCGTTCTTGTAGCTATGTTGACAGGCGAGTTGCCGTGGGTCGAAGCTTTAAGTACTGATGAAGATTTTTCACGATGGTGTACCGACTACTGTTTAACTGCCGCTCCGTGGTCAAAGCTTGGCAACACAGCTCTGAGTTTGATAAGACAAATATTAAATCAAGACAGACAGAAAAGACTTACTTTGAAACAGATTCTCCGACATCCATGGATGAAATTTGACTTTGGAAATGGTAAGTTTATATTTTCATTCAATTTTTTTTTGGCTTAGATCAATCAATTTTTATTGAATAACTAGACTTAACATTTAAATAGGATGTAACAAGAGCAAAAACAAAATATATAGGCAATTATGAACATCTAGGGTTGTATAGTAGATATACATCATTTGATTCATTTTTTGCATCCTGTTTTCACATTTTAAGTTATTTTTTTTCAGATGGCGACTTAAAAACAGAATCTGATGGCATCCCGATGAATTTTACAGCAGCCGAAACAAATAATTACAATCGGGAAATAACTGAAGCTACTATATCTCAACCCGTAATGGTTACACGTCCATCTTGTGTTGATGAATTAGTCAATGAAGTTGCAACAAACAAAAAAAAATATGTATGCTTCTCAGAGCCTACAAAAATCGATGATTTTATTTTGCAGTTGACTCAAACTCCAGTAGAAAAGTCGAATTTTCACAATTTGGTGAAAAGGACGACGAGATTTTATGTATTGTGCAATCGGAAGGAAGCTTTGGATTATCTTGAATCGGTTTTGGATGGTTTACGTTACTCTTGGGCTTTAGATTGTACAGGAACGATGACAATTTGCACAGTAGATTTTCGTAAAAACCCATTAGTCTTTAAAATGAATTTATTCGATATGGATGGCAAAATACTAATGGATTTTCGATTATCCAAAGGCTGCGGAATAGAATTTAAAAGGAAAATTATTAAGCTTAAAAGTTGCCTTTCAAATATTATTCAAAAGTCGGAAGTACATAGCTCCACCACAGCTTTTTCTACTCCCAGCACAACTTCATCACTTCAATAAAATAGGAATTAAATTCATATATGTATAGTTGAGTGACTATATTATGCTAAGAGTATAACGTATAACTTATTATTTATTTTTTTAATAGTGAAATTAAATTCAAAACCATAGTTCAACCACTTTCCATCTTAGTATAAGATATCGATTAGTTGTCATATACCATAACGTAATATCTTTGGTAATATTATAAGTATTGTGCATTAACGTTTTTCCAATATTTTTGTTGTTAGAATTAGGTTATATTTAGTATCACTAAACTAAAAACTAAGATACAGTCATTTTTGTGTTCTGGTTTAGATTTGATTTGACTCAGATAAAGATAAGTATAGTTAAGTATTTGGATTTTCAGTAACAAGGTTAATTTTGCCAAGAGCAAATAAAAATAGAATTTTCACAATTTTTTTATCGATTGTGTATTATTTCATTTTGAGAAATATATAAAATAACATATAGGCGCCGGCTTTCTAAAATCTGTATGGGTGCTTAGCCAAAGGCGGCATAAAATAGCTAAAGGCTTATTTTTGGTGCCACTCCCAATCCCTTATTAAGGATATTCTTCTTTTTTTTTTCATTTTCCGCATTTATCTGTAGTATACCTATAACCGGTAAGTACCTGTATGTATACCTATCAATATTAGGTATTCTAGAAGCTGGGATGCTGGCAGTATTTCACTGCCTTAGATTTAGCTAGCGGGTTCCACCAGATCTAGACAACCACATCGAAAAAACCGCATTCAGCACAGAAAACAGGCATTATAAGTTCTTGCGCATGCCATTGGGTTTGGAGAACACGCCGGCTACATTCCAAAGAGTTATGGATGATATTCTATATTCCAATATATTGAGCAACTTTAACACCAAAAGCTGGAACATCCTATCAATAATAGTTACAGTATTTACTTCAGAAAGAAGCATTTACTAATTTCCGGTAGTTTCGAAATGTAGTATCTAACTTCGTTTCGAAGTAAATACTACGTAGAACATACTAATACTTGTAGTAGTAGCCAGTACTTCGTTCTTATTCATACCACCCAATGACACCATTTTGTAGAGAAAAAAGAATCTTGAATCTTTTGTATGAACACTTTTTTCTAAAGTTAATAGATTTTGAAATATTCATTTAATAAGTTTAATTTTTTTTACATTTTCCCTTATATCTCGGAAACGAATAAAAACTTGGCAACCCTGTGTACTTACCTTCAATGGATACTAAAATTTGCCACTTTTATCTAATTTAACCTACTTCGTCCCTCTTACCGGTTCGGAAATAGCTAAGCCTGCCATACGTCCCGTATTATACGGGATAGTCCCTTATTCCAAGGTCCATGTCCCGCGTCCCCAAATTTGTTGTCGGGACGCGTAAATGTCCCGTATTCTCTGATATTTCAAAAAGCGTGAAATAGGCAATTCGATTTTGCCCCTCATTCCCTCATCTCTAGTCTCAGCAAATCGCAACGTGCTGGTTATTCGACAGCATTTAACATTTGACAGTTAAGAATTTGGCGAATTCGGCCCAAGGGTAATAATCACCACAGGATTGCTTTATTGCTTATCATTTTTGGTAATGGCCGCCATATTGGTGTATCACCATTGCCGACGTCATCAACTAAGTCGTCAGCGACGTTAGCTTGTTTGCGCCAGCAGTCGTAGTTTAGAATTTAAATATATGATGAAAAATATTATTTAATTTTGATTGAACATAATAGGCAAATAGGAAGATGCAAACGAGATCTGAAAAATAGTTGTTTTAAAATGGTAATTAATGTAGTAAAACCAAGTATGCATAAAGTAAAAGCGTTGATTCCTGTGGTGCAAACAGTCTAGGTCAAGGCGAGAAACGACATGCTGTCTACGTCACAGATGGTGATTTGGTGGGGTAGGGGCATTGAGGTAGTATATAGGGTAGGAGGCGACGTCACCTGACAAAAAGTGGTAGCGGGTCCGCCATACTAGTGCTGGTTTTGTGTCATTACTTACCTACTGACATTACAACTGTCACAAGCGTTGTGTATGAGAGAAGTATAATGTCTTCATGTGCAGTAAGAAGTTGCTGCAGCAGGTTTGGCGTAGAAAAGAAGAAATCAACGGGAATATCATTTCATAGGTGAGTATAAACAACATTCAGGATCGGACTTCCAATTTTTTGTTGTAGTTTTAATATGTAGTTATGTTTTGAGAAGTATAATTTTTTAACAATTTTAACAATTTTTAGACCACATAAAAACAATTAAATGCATGTAAAAATTGAAATACCAATAGAGTCTGACTTTTAAATATATTTGAGCTATATGAAGTAAACAAATATGACATTTTTGAGCTGAATCCAACCCTGATACAGCGGCCATATTGGTGCTGGAATAAGCTCCTAATGATCCCGTTATCAATGCATACTCGTGTCTCGTATACGGCAACAGCGTCTCCTTTTATATAATATCTCAATGGGTAGGGGGCTTCAGATTTGTTCTACACAGGCCTTATGAGGATAGGCTAGCCTGTAGTAGTAGTGTGTATTATCCGTGAGTTCGATCTACGGGCGGGGTCCCGAAAAAACAGAAATTCGCCTGCGGCGTTATTTTTTCTTAAATACATGAAACATCTGCTTCATAAAAATGTCCCGTTTTTTTATCGGAATATTATGGTAGCCTTAGAAATAGCAATAGTGGTATCACTTAAAACGGACACTCTGGTATAAAGCAAAGTTAGAAAGAAAAAAAAAAAAAAATACATAAAAGATGGGCCCCGGGAAAATCCTTGCGCAGGGGCCCCGGATTTGAAGTTACGCCACTGCCCAAAAATCTACAGAAAAATTTCCTTTATCAAATTATTCAATTAATACCTATCAACCTTTAAAAAATGTCTACAGAATGTGTTGTTTTTGACTGAGACTGGGATTCCCAGAAATGCAAAGTGCAAAACAGAACAGTGCACCCATGATCGCCATTCAACAGCCACTCGACTCGCTGATTGGACCTCTTGGATCAGACGATCAGACACTACACAGGTTTGCTCATCTGTCGGTATTTTTCGGATTATAATAGGCATTTTCGGAAATGGTGTTCCGATTAACCCGATCACCAACTAATTAAGATTGTCTTTTTTCATTAGCGTTCATTGGTGATCGGGTCAATCGGAACAGCGTTTCCTAAAAGCTCTATTATGTAGCGCTGCTTGCGTCAGCGGTTTTCTGAAGTAAAACTTCCAGGCGGCGGTCTGATATTCGGACGACAATGGAGAGTGATTTGAAATACGCGTCATAAGCAAATTTCGTTAGTTACTTGAGAGAGAAGAAAGATATAACGTAAACGTAAAGGGACGGAGAAAAACAGCTACTGATTGATAATGACATGAACCAAGGATTATAAGCGCAAAGAGAATTGCCTATGATTAACAATCGCCGATACCCTTATGACGTCACTACAGATGCGGATTTCCTTTTTTATACTATTTATCATTGTGTTTTGTGATTATTTTCGTTATTTAAACATTTGTGTCCTGTGCTTTTTGGAGTGAAACTTCGTAGGCGGCGGTCTGATATTTAGACGAGAATGGAGAATGATTTGAAAGAAGCGTCACGTTTTGGCAAATTTCGTTACGAGAGAGAAGAAAAATATAACGTAGAGGGACGGAGAAAGAGAGGCAATGACAATGACAGGCGTCTGTCGGAAACCCACCTTTAGGTTGTCATTTTTGGCATTGAGACCAGCTTTTCCATTTAAAACGCATTGATGTCAGAAATCTGTCAAAGTGTAAATTTTTGACAAACGCAATTTAAATGGGAAAATATAACACGTGCATAAAATATTTCCGGAAATTTTTGAAAATTTTGTCTGAAGCCAATTTTTTGGTTTTGTTTAAAAAAATTGGCTGAAGACGAAATTTTTCAAAATTTCCTTCAGGAAATATTTTATGCACGTGTTATATTTTGATAGGAAATTGCCCGAGTTTGAAGTTTATTCATTATACGGTGTGTCGAATATTTTAATTATGGTGATGTGTTTTGTGATGGTAATTGTTATTGATCTTTCCCATTTAAATTGCGTTTGTCAAAAATATACACTTTGACAGATTTCTGACATCAATGCGTTTTAAATGGAAAAGCTGGTCTCAATGCCAAAAATGACAACCTAAAGGTGGGTTTCTGACAGACGCCGCGCGGCATTGTCGCATTGGAAATTGCACCCGGAAATATCCCGCTCACCAGGGATATTTCCACTTATCAATTTTTGAAAATTACAAGGTAAATTTCCAGTTAAATATGCACAAGGGAAATTTCCGGAAATATTTTATGCAGTAGTTATATTTCTACTGGAAATATGATAACGAAGAATTTTCACTAACACCTCCAGAAATTACATAAAGGGCGACAAATGCAGGTAATAATATACTACTGGACAAGTCCAAGAAAAGTTACGAAAAATTATATGGACAATTTATGCATTGGAGAAACACCAAAAACACATCGTCCTTCGCAGAAAATGTTTTAATAGTATATTTTGAAGAATTACAACAAAAAATAAAACCTGCAACTGTATGGACGCATTACTCAATTATAAAAAATCTATTCAAATTTAAGCATAATGTTGACATATCTAAAAATCATAGGTTTTATCAATGGCAGTAGAAAAAATAGTGTATGCAACTCTCATGTAATGGCCATTAATACACTCGCATCCCACATAACAGTGAAAGAACATTCATATTCTCAGAATATTCCCTCAAAGTACTTTTTGGAATGTTCTTTTAGGAATGTTCAATGAATATTCTAAGATTGTTTCGATTGAAATATTCATTTTTGAACGTTCTATTTATGTACTAGGAATATTGCTTCTATGCACCTACCTGAAAGATTGTGCTAAGAACCTATTTTATATAACATTCTTTGAATATTCTCATACGAACATTATTATAATGTGCCCTAAAAAATGTTCTTTAAGCTAATATCTCTATCAAGTATTAAGAATATACCTACCAAGTTGTGCTGAGAAGTTTATGTAGGTAGGTCATGATAAGAATATTTTTATATTGTTCACCTAATTATCTAAAATACCTACTCAAAAATCTTAGTTATACAATTAAACAATAATGCTCTATCTAGAACCTACTAAGAATATTATAGGTATATTCTTTTTCTTTTGCTTTGTATGACTTCCAAGAGAGGGAGCGACGCGCTATTAAAGATCTACATCTTGCCTCGCATTTGAATCACCTTGGAACCTGTTTTTCTCAGTTGGCGTGCTTCGACGAGAGCATGACAAGCTCGAAACCGGAGCTTTGGTCAAATACTCGTGTTTTCTAGAGAAGTTTTCCAACAACTCTTTCACTGCCTTTAATATAAAAGGGCTGAAACGAGTATTATTTGGAAGCGAAAATTAACATTCCAAGTATATTCTTAGAATCAAACAAGAATGTTATGTCTAGGATGCATATTGAGAATGATATATGTAGATATATTCTAAGAATATTTCAAGCATATTGGTATAATATTCTTTTGAGAACATAACTATAATGTTATAGAAACATTCTTTGAATGTGAGCATATAGGTACGTTTCGAGCATATTTTTAGAATCA